CCCAAGCTGCCTCTCTTAAGCTGCCAATCACCCCATCCAGTTCCGGGTGCAGTCAGCGATGTGTTTGCTGCAAACTCTAGGCCCGTTCAAGCGCCCAAGCAGGGATCCGCTGTTATAGTGGGCAGATTAAAACACAAACATTTTCAAAAAGAGAGCAGATTTCCTCTTCCATTTCTCACTAGTACCATGTCCCTTTGCAGCGACCAGACACTCGAACCAATCCAACCCCTGACTTCCCAGGCCGAGGCATGGCAAGCCATCCCCGAAGTGTCAGAGTGGGTTCTGGGGATAATAAAGCAAGGCTATTCAATTCAGTTCGCTCGAAGACCCCCACGTTTCAGCGGGGTGTTCCCCACTTCGATTCAGAGCAAGGACGCACACGTGCTGCGCTCCGAAGTGAAAAATCTGCTGGCAAAGGGAGCCATAGAGACGGTTCCTCCAGCTCAGAGTGAGTTAGGCTTCTACAGCCGTTACTTCCTCGTCCCCAAGAAGGATGGCAGCTTGCGGCCCATCCTCGATCTCAGACGCCTGAATCGCGCCCTCATGAAACGGCTGTTCAGGATGACTACACTGAAGCAGATCCTCTCGCAAATCTGCCCAGAGGACTGATTGTTTTCTCTGGACTTGAAAGATGCCTACAGGTGCATCTCAGTAAATTAGAATGTCGTGGAAAAGTTCATTTATTTCAGTAATTCAACTCAAATTGTGAAACTCGTGTATTAAATAAATTCAATGCACACAGACTGAAGTAGTTTAAGTCTTTGGTTATTTTAATTGTGATGATTTTGGCTCACATTTAACAAAAACCCACCAATTCACTCAAATTAGACAAAATCTCAACAAATTAGAATACTTCATAAGACCAATAAAAAAAAAATATTCCCCTAAGAATTGGGACACCACTACTATACGTCACACATCACCATACGTCGTCTAGCTCCTACAATACACACACACATACTGGTGTGCATTAGAGCCATTAATTACCGTTCTATATATAATGCGCTGCTTACTGACACACACACACACATACACACACATCAGATATCGCGCAGCTCACACATCCAGGAGCAAAGAAACTTGTCAACGCTGCCCCACGACTTTTATTAATAACAGTTCAAATACTGAATTGCTCGTTATATTTTCCAGCAACTAGAGGATAAAATCGCTGTTTTTGAAGTAAACTCACTCCAAAAAGAAACGCACCGATGCGCACACACGCAACTTTCATCTCTCTCTCTCTCTCTCTCTCTCTCTCTCTCTCTCGAATTGGCAATATTTCAGAAAAGGGTTTAGCGATTTATAATTATTGGGGGTACTAGCCCTCCTCAATGTCTATGGTGGTTATTATCGCCCTGATCAGACATGAAAATAGCCTATGTTGTGGCACTATCGTGCAGTCAGTAATGATATGACGTTAGCAAAGATGTTTTGCAAACATTTCTTTGAGTAACATGACAGTAAATATGAACTCACGATTGAATGTAACATAAAACATGATTACTTTTCATTAAAATCTTTATTAATGCCAAAACTGCTTACATTTATGTGTCTTTTTGTTCGCTCGGGCAGCCATGTTGCCGCTGAAGCCGGTTTACGCTGAGATAAGTCATACCCCTTCGTTTGAAGTGTGGTCCCGAAAAATCTTCGTTTGAAGGGCTATCTGGCCCTTCCCCTACCCCTACCCCTCCAACCAAAAGAGAATCGAGACACCCCTACCCCTTCACGTGAACGCGCGAAACGGAGGGGTAGGTGTTGTAATAATGTAAAATATGTGAAAATTAATGTGTTTTTCGAACAACCTAGTATGAGAGCCTGTTCTAGTACACCCCCAAAACAAAATCAAGACTTTGTAAAAGAGCATAATAGGACCCCTTTAAACTCACCCCTCGGGAAAGGGGAAGGGCTAAGGAGTAGAATTGGGATTGGGCCTTAGACTCAACCCAAATGAGCGGTGGTCGCGACAGAGCGTGCTCTGGTCATACAGCAGCTCACAGCTTCCTTCTAGGTCGGTGTCTCTCGCCCCCTCAAGGTGTTTCAAAAGATGCTGGGCCTTATGGCTGCAGCGTCTCCAGTGCTACAGTTGGGCCTGCTTCGTATGCATCCCCTTCAGTATTGGTTAAAACCGCGGGTTCCATCCCATGCGTGGCATCACGGATGCCTGCTTATGAGGGTAGACCAGGCCTGTGTAACAGTACTGACCTTTTGGAAGAATGCTCAGTGGATGGAACAGGGCGTCCCCCTGGGAATGGTCTGCAGAAGAAAGGTGGTTTCAACAGATGCTTCCAACACGGGTTGGGGAGCTCTGTGCGAAGGAAAACCGGCTTTCGGCCACTGGTTGAAAGCGGAGGATGGTCTTCACATCAACTGCCTCGAAATGCTGGCGTATATCGGGCCTGTCAAACCTTCCTACCAGACCTGAGGGGACACCATGTACTGGTCTGCTCAGACAGCATGACTGTAGTGTCCTTCATAAATCGCCAGGGAGGGCTTTCCTCGAGGTGCCTCTTTGTGCTGGTAGAGCGCCTCCTGGAATGGGCTCAGCTCAACCTGCGCTCACTGAGAGCAGTGCACGTTCCGAGCAAACTGAACCAAGGAGCGGATATGTTGTCACAAAGCAAAGTCCCCTCAGAAGAGTGGATGCTTCATCCGCAGACGGTTAAAAAAATTTGGGTGATCTTTGGCAAGGCGGAAGTGGACCTTTTTGCCTCAAAAGACAACTCGCATTGCCCAATTTATTATTCCAACGACAAGTACGTGTTGGCCCATGACTGGCCCAACCTCCTTCTCTATGTTTTTCCCCCGATCGCCCTGATCCTGCAGGTAATCAGACGAATCAGGGAACAAGAACGCAAGGTTCTTCTGGTGGGCCCCGCTCTGGAGAAACCAGCATCGGTTATCAGAGCTGTCGCAGCTGCTCATAGCAGCCCCGTGGCCCATTCCCCTGAGGCGGGATCTCCTCTCTCAGGAGAACAGGATGATATAGCACCCCCTGCCCGAGCTGTGGGCTCTGCATCTTTGGCCACTCGATGGGAGCCTGCAAGCCTCCCAGAGTGTTTTCTAAACACCATTTCTCAGGTTAGAGCTCCATCTACGAGACGCCTCTATGCCCTTAAGTGGTCGTTTTCTCCACCTGGTACTTAACCCACGGCGAGGACCCATCCGTCTGTGACGTATCGGTGATATTGTGTTTCCTGCAGGAGCTGTTAAGGGGTGCTCCCCATCCACGCTCAAGGTCTATGTAGTAGCTATAACGGCTTCTCATGCCCCTATAGCAGGCCAGTCTGTGGGCAGAAACAACTTTGTTGTCTGTTTTCTGAGGGGGGCTAGGAGGCTGAATCCGCCCCGTCCCCTCACTGTCCCTATGTGGGACCTGCCCACTGTTCTAAGGGCCCTGAAGTGTCCTCCCTTTGAGCCACTGCAGTCTGTTGACCTTCGGACCCTGTCGTTGAAAACCGCTCTGCTGCTAGCATTAGCATCGGTCAAACGAATGGGAGACTTACAGGCGCTCTATGTGAGCCCTACCTGCCTGGAGTTCGGGCCTGGTGACTCTAAGGTCGTCCTGAAACCGAGGCATTGTTATATGCCTAAGGTGCTCTTTACTCCATTCAGGGCACAGGTCATTACATTCTCTGCGCTTCCTCCTTCAGAAGAGGACCAGAAGTTGAATTTACTCTGCCCCGTCAGGGCGCTGAAAGTTTACATCGAACGCTTCGCCCCGTTTAGGCAGTCTGAACAGCTCTTTGTTTGTTTCGGTGGCCGCGCTAAATGGCATCCGGTCACGAAGCAGAGACTTTCTAAGTGGATAGTTGATGCTATTATGCTAGCCTACTCTTCCTTGGACCTGCAATTCCTCATTGGAGTACGAGCCCATTCAACTAGAGGCATCGCCTCTTCTTGGGCATGGTCTAGCGGCGTGTCCATTGCGGAAATTTGTGCGGCGGCCAGTTGGGCCTCGCCGTCCACATTTGCTAGGTTTTATAACCCGGTCGTCCCTGCCTTGCACGCTAGAGTTCTTTCACGCACCTGCTTACGCAGTTCAACACGTAACATGCTCAAACCCATCAGAGGATTTACTTGTGCACTCTCGGCCCTCATAGGCGCCGGGGCTGTGCAAGTCTTCTGGAACGATCACTCAGATCGGGCGTGACCTCTGTGAGCTTAGCCTGTTCGCCTTGGGAGGTGTTTACTATTCTTGTCCCCTTGGGCCTTGAGGTGCCTAGGGCAAGGTTACACATGTAGCTGTTCCTCTGCCATAGCACGGCGTGATTGTACTGGTTCCCATAGAGTCTTAGCAGACGCAGTACGAGTGAAGTATCGATAGGGAACATACTCGGTTACAAACATAACCTCGGTTCCCTGAGATACGGGAACGAGTACTGCGTTGCTAGCCGTGCTATGCAGCTGCACGTCTCAGTCGTTGCTTCAGTCAAAGTAACCTGAATCCTATGGCGAAGTGCCCGCTTATATAGCCAGATGGCCCCGCCCATTCTGGCGGGCTTCTTGGCCATAGGTTCGTGCAGCACTGCTGCCGAGCCATTGGTTCATTTTTAAAGTGTACTGCACGAACCAATGGCCGTGCAGTTACACTGCGTTATTGAAAAAGACTTCAGTTCAGGAGAAAAATGACTTTTTCCCATAGCGTCTTAGCAGACGCAGTACTCGTACCCATATCTCAGGGAACCGAGGTTACGTTTGTAACCGAGTATGTAGACTTCTCAGCCATCTCCCAGTCCAGCTAAGCTGATTTTCAGATGGTTATGGTGGTCTGTTGGAAGAAAAGTGTTGGTCTGTTATTCAAAAGAAAAGCAATTATTGTAATTTTGAAATTGAAATCTTTTGTAATATTTTACAATTCTTCACTTTAAAATCAATTAAATTATTTTTTTCTGAATGAAAGTATTTAAAAAACAGTTTGAATGGTAGTGTATGTATATTTTTGTCAATTTTCGGCTTTTGTGACTCATTCTGGTTTTCCGTTCTGTTTCCTTTCTCTGCAGTATGAGTCAGATGAGCTGGAGAAGAGTGTGTATCAGGACTATGACAGTGACAGTGATGTACCTGAGGAGCTGAAACAAGACTATGTAGATGAACAGACAGGAGACGCTCCAGTGAAGAGGTCAGTACTGAGTTATCATCCAGATGCTCACGTCACACAGGACCACCTCTAGGTTCTGTATACTAAGTAATTGCCCACCAAATGGTATGTCGACAGTTAGTTTACATATGCATGGTTTGATTGGTGTCCTGTTGGCATGTTTTCATAAATTAGTGTGCTGTAGATCCAGGTCGCACATGAATCGGTTCATTAACCCAAGACAAGGTCAGGAGGCAGCAAAATTCTCATTTATGGACTCTTGTTCCCTCTCAGGCAGCAGAAATAGTTTAAATTCACACTGTGTACAGTGAACACACAAGCTATCATTAGCCTCTTATCAGCAAGAAAGGCTTTAATTATTTTATGAAGAATGAGCCTTTTAAGTCCACAAGGCTGCCGTTTAGAGCCATTCGGGGCTTTGAAGTTTAATAAAACGATCTCAAGGAGATTGTTAAAATGGCTCCTTTTGGAATTACATCACATGGTTATGTTTTTCCAACTACGTGAGTGTGCAAACTGGTATTTTTTACATTTCCTAATTGCTCTTGGCTTGGTCTCCGTGTCTAAGTGTGATAGAAATATCATAAATCAAAGAAATGATTAGGAATGTGATTAATCAATGCACCCTGATGAATATTTAATGCCTGTTTGTTGCTCACGAAGATGACTGACAGTTCTCCCTGCAGTAAATCAGCTGGCACATTCCATGTTGTGACACTTCATTGTTAGAGACTGCCACATTTTGAGGGCTCTAACGTTTTGCATATTTAAAATGACATACGTTTTCTTAAACGCAATATGGTGACTCTTGCTCACAATCTGTGACTTCAGTGCTTGTTTAGAATACATCTGGAATATTCTGGGTTCAAGCTGGGTTCAATACAATTTAAGCTCTGTTGACAGAATTTGTGTTGATAATGATTATCACCAAAGAAGTAATTTCAACTTGCCCCTCATTTTCTTTAAAAAAGCAAAAATGGAGGTTTTAGTGAGGAACTTGCAATTCAGTCATATTCAGTTAGGGTTTATGGCAGTGCATTTTCATGGCTATAAAGTTACAAACTTGGATATAACTTTACACAGAAATGGTTGGCGAATAAATTTGTTCACGTTAAAGTCATGTTAACGCACATATTGTACATATGATCTGTGATAAATATCATACAATCATCAGTTCTGCAAAACCCAGAACACTCACTTCAGTTAAATCTGAACCCAGGTTAATGACGGAAGTGTGTGAATGAGATTTTTCAGTTTAAAGGTCATTGAACTCTAATGCTCCTAATAATCCTGGATCTCAGTGTCCCTGCTCTGTCCTCCCTTAATTAGCGTGTCCAGAGAGACACTTCGCAGCCAGAAGAGGTCCGACTACAATCTGAACCGAGCCAATGCCCCCATCCTTACCAACACCACCCTCAACGTGATTCGCCTGGTTGGTGAGTAATTGACCTTTGAGCTTGCACCCATGCAAGACTGATGGTGCATGATAAAGTTGACCCTAAGCAGAAGACCACAGTTTGACCTCTAATTAACATGCTAATAGCTCAATTACTATGAAAGAGGTGCGTTCTTGGAGTCATCTATGTTCTGTTTCAGCTTCCGGTCATTAACTCCATTCTGAGCATGTGCCTGCTCATCTCTTCAGGTTCATATGAACGCTTGCTTGATGTGTTGAATGAGATAAAGGCTATGACACCATTCATATTTAAATGTTCAGTTTAAGGCAAACAGAATCTAAATGCAAAAACATGCTGTCATGAACCCATGGTTGTAAATTTTCTTTTTGATAAAAGTGCTGATTTTGTGAAATGGACAATTTAGGTGGTTTCAAATGTTTTGCTGAAATCAGCTGGAGTACTTTTTACATCCAGATGTTAAAATTGATTAAACACCATCTGGTAACTTCATCAGTATTTTAGAAGACATCCATTTTGATTAGTAAAATTTGGAGCCCTTTAAATTATTTTAGGGTAAGAGGAGAGAAAATGTCCATTTACTCACCTCCATGTCGATCAAATTACAAAAAAATAAATAATCAGGGTTTGAAATTAACACCCGCCAACCCGCCAAATGCGTGTCATCACAGAAAATATTGAGATATTATTTTTTGTCAATATCGCACACCCCTAGTACTGACAAAATGATTCGCAACGGTCGCTTTGTCACGCCCAGTGTATAGACGGCCTCAAACTGTTGATGTATTTCTGTCTTTTTTTTTTGGGCTAGTAGACGTTATGAATGGCTGGTAACTTAAAAATGTTGTAGCCAAATTGGCTGGTGAGTGAAAAAGTTAATTTCAATCCCTGTAAATAATATATATTAACAAAGTTTAAAAAGGGTATTATATTTTAAATATGGCACAAAGGCTTTGAATGGCACATTTGCCAAGGTATTGCATTTCAGTTCTGTATATCTACATTATTTGCATTCATATTTCCCTACATTTTTGGTTTTATATTCTGTATGTGAACCTTATTTGTTTGCCTTTCATATATATTTCACTTTTTTTTCTGATTGATTTTGCTTTTATAGGAAAATACATGCAGATGATGAACATTCTGAAGCCCATCGCCTTTGATGTCATCCACTGCGTGTCTCAGCTCTTTGATTATTACCTGTATGCTGTCTACACCTTCTTTGGCCGCAATGATATGGTATGCATTTCAAAGCATTTTTGTTCTCCTCCATGTTCGGTGTTAATTCTTAACATTATGCAATATTTATTATGTACAATTGGATCCTTGCTGTGCTATGTTGTGTATTTTCTCTGGATGGTACATGCTCATTAAGAAAAGCATGCCAGTACACTCATTGTTTTTTCCTCTAGTGTTTGCAAGCCTCATGGGCACTGTTCTATAATTACTTCCATTATCATGTGAGCAAGTGTTTAGGTGTAGAGTTTGCCTCAAGAGGCTGGACTCTGAACATCAAAGAAAGGTATAAATGTCTGAACGAATTCTCAGTCGCTTATTTGCACTATTTCTAAAAATTAGGTTTGCAGTAGTAATTTAACTCTACTGTAACTTGAAATCTAACTTGCTTTCACAAATAGATAGATGTGCTTCAATGACCCTTGAGAGTTTTGGATAGAGAAAGTTGTGCCTGCAGAAGTTCATGTCTAGAATTGTTAAGTGATTTCAATGCAGACCTCTCTATAGGCTTGTGCCCTCAAGCTACAGTTCTCAAAGCTTTAATAAGCACAGCTTTAGGCTAGATGAATCAGTTTCGAGAGCCGGGCCTTCCTAAATAAAATTAGACAGCAGCTCAATAATCCTCATAATTGTCACTCTTTGAGACTCAATAAGCCGTTTCTGAAGAGTCTTCAATGCCTTCGCCACAACAGCAATATCCCACAATATACCGCACTTTAGCAGCTCCATAGAAAGCAGCTTGTTTCTTGCTCCCCAGAGCACTCTGGTTATTTTCTGTGCACTGTCCCAAATGACCTTACAACTAAGCCACCTCATCTGCCCAAACATTACTAGAATAATGAATCTTACACGGAGTTGCCTTGTTTGCTTTGATTTCCCAGAAGTCTGACTCAAGCCGTTGCAGGTAAACTGGCAAAGACCCCCACTAGTTGCAGTGCAGCTGTTTTAGCTCCCTAAAACTCTGGTAACATAGTAAGGGCATTGTTAAAATAGTCCATGTGACACCAGTGGTTCAATCATAATTTTATGAAGCTACGAGAATACTTTTTGTGCCCAAAGAAAACATAACGACTTTATTCAATGATTTCTTCTCTTCCAGCTCAGTCTTCACCGGTTGAACCACTGCTGTCACGTGGACTATTTTAACGATGTCCTTACTACTATGGAAGGCATTTTCTGCCAATTTTAAATAAATCAGTTTAATTATAAAAATGAAAATGAAAACCAGATTAACAATTTCATTATAGAACACTATACGCAAAATATGTGCAAAAATTGAAAATGAAATGAAATTGTCATTTTCATTTTTATTTTCACTGTGACTATGCATTGTCCCTGACAAATTGAAAAATAAAATGCAGTTGGTGATTTGAAATTTAATTTGCAATGCAATCTCGAGGCAAAGCTGCCAATCTTAAAATATAAAGGCAAACGTGAAAAAGAAAATGCAAATACAGCTTTTACAAAGATTTTTATTAATGCTCGCATAATAATAGTGACACAATTCAAATTAAAATGTAAAGTTTATTTTTTGTTTAATTGTCACTTTTATTTCACAGTTTTCATTTTCGTTTTTATTTTCAAAGTCAACTTATATGCAAATTCTGTGTTGATCAGGGGGCGGGGTTTATTGTTCGCGTGACGTACAGAGTACAGAGGCCCGTTCCCACCACAGTTAAGTAAAAAAATATATGATTCTGTAAGTCGTAATAATGAGAAACGCTCTCATATTAATGACTTAATATCTCATAATAACTCTCATATCAGTGAGAAACTGTCTATTACTTCTATGCATGTGCCAAGCAGCGGAGCAGAAGGGAGCGGCACGCTAGCGACACCTGCTGGTCAAACGTTCACAGCACACTCTTCAAAACGCTCCAAACACTTGAGTAATCATGAATAGCATTAATGATAAGTTATCAGTATTTGAGACAGGCTTCCATAGTATAGTCTTTTATCCATTTGTAACATTCATTTTTGTTTTTCTGCAACAAAACTTTAACGTAGAATCATGATCCAAACAGAAGTTTGGAAACGAGGATTTAAACAAAAGGATTATTAAGACAGCACACGCAGCCCATATATCCAAGTCTGCTAAGGAACGCTTCACCTGGAAAGATGTGTGCAGTGCGCAAACATATATAATCGTCATCTTTTCAAGCAGTTTAGCATACATTCTAAATAATCATCTTAAAGATGTTTTCTGTGTCTAGCCTATCCTTCAGATGAACGCACTTGAAATAGAGGCCTCCATGAAGTGTTCGCTATATTATTATTAACACATAAACCCATACATTTGATGAAGACATTACAATCGAACTTATTAACGAATAAATGCTATTTTATTCAGTTACCTTTAGTTTAAGTTAACACCCCTTACGAAAAAGGTGTAACTTTTTTTGACAGATTGATTTACCATTTATATAATCACAGCTTTACTACAAATGCCATGGTTTAATTATATATTATGTATTTGTGTGTTTTGTTTTGAAGAGCGTGCTGTGAACGTATGAATAAAAAGCTTTGTAAAAACTGTATTTGCATTTTCTTTTTCACGTTTGCCTTTTCATTTTAATATTGGCAGCTTTGCCTCAAAATTGCAGTGCAAATGAAATGTCAAATCACCAACTGCATTTTATTTTTCAATTTGTCAGGGACAATGCATTGTCACAGTGAAAATGAAAATTAAATAATTTCATTTCATTTTAAATTTTGGCACATATTTTGTATATAGTTTTCTATAATGAAATTGTTAATCTGGTTTTCATTTTTATAATTAAATTGATTTATTTCAAATGGGCAGAAAATGCCTTCCATATACTACGTTTCTGGGCCTTGAACATGGTAGTTCCGTTGCTGTCTATGCAGGGTCAGAAAGCTCTTGGATTTCATCAAAAATATCTTAATTTGTGTTCCTAAGATGAACGAAGGTCTTATGGGTTTGGAACGACATGAGGGTGAGTAATTAACGACAGCATTTTCATTTTTGGATGAACTATCCCTTTAAGGTTTGAGCCTGTCAGCTATCCTAACATGGGACTCCCGTTTGTCAGAACTTTTTGAAGTAAAGCCTCATTTCATTGGCATTATCTGCTGCTCAAATGGGTCCATGCCTCTACCTCTGCAAACTGACAATGTGACTTTCCTTCCCAGGCAGTTTGAGAGTTTCAGGACTGCCTTGCCTACTTCATAAAGTCATGGGCCTTTTGAACACTATTGCAGGTTTAAATGAATTCCTGAGTGCAGAGGGAGTGACATTGAAGGGGCATTGAATTTTCTTACTGTTTTCCACCTATGTGAGCTGGGAGAATTTGTTGAGGAAGCAAGCTTGTTAAACAGCATTGGAGGCCATAATAAAGCTGTTGGTTGGGGCATTGGTTTGGCAGTGGCAGCCGAAGGGCGTCTGACTGAACCTGTTAAAGACAAGAACTGCCTGCTGTTCTTGGACTTCTGTTCTTGGATTTTCAGACCTCTACTGCCTTGCAAACAGACCTCAACATTTGCATCTTCCACCTTGTTTCACAGCTGCGCTTACTTACCCAGCTCACTGTTGACCACCTCAAAAAGATGTTCATTCTTTGTAGTCTTCAAGAAGTCATTAACTTTTTCTCTGGGAAGCAGAAGCTGAACAGTTGGATCCTTAGTGCGCTAATAACATTATTCAGTTCCTTTGTTTCATTGTTTATATCCTGACATTCTTGAGAACTATACAACAAAACTAAACCTATCAATAATACCAGCCTGTCAGTCTAGGCTTTGATTAGCCTGACCAGTGACGTGCTGTTTTCTAAATGGAGTGTATGGCCTTCATCAACTGTAAAATAGTGTTTCTGTCATGGGATTTGACAGTAGTCTTTAATCGTACCACACAAGCCAGGTGGGGTTGAAACATTTGTCTTACGAAACAAAAAGATCTCCACACTTCATCTGTCATGCGCTGAATTCTGGTCCCAGTGATGCTTTTATGGCCAAACTCTCTACAGCCTACAGTGATTCCACCTTCCATGTTTTTTTTTCTTCTGACATTTTTTCATATTATCACAGAAGTGTTCCATTTGCACTCTGTATGCTTTGCAAATAATTGTTTGTTTGCTATGCTGAGCCAGTGCTAAATCAAAAGTAAATGCTTTCATGCTGGTAGATTGAGGCCAGTGCCATTGCACACTATAGAGCAGGAGTAAAGTCTTTGCACTCTATTTGGCCTTCGCGTGTGGTTTAGCATCGTTATAAGTCATGATTTCACTTGCAAAGAAGAACATTCCTGGGCAGACATGGGCCACATACAAGGGTGTTTTAAAAACTGAAGGAAATGAGGGGCCCTGAGGAGAATTGAGCTTCTAGATGCATTGATCAGGACAGGGTTTCAAGTGTGAGCTGGATTTCCTGACTTGCTTTCTGAAGACCTGACTCATAATTCCACATATTTGGACACTTATATTTGAACAAGGCTTTGCTGATGTGCAAGATTGAACTTTTTGGCTTTTTAAGCCACTGCTGGTCATTGGAACTAATGCAAACAAGTGAGAAATAAGTCTTCTCCAGCTTGCCAAGGCAGCGCTTTTTTCCCCCTGCATGCCCTCTGAGTGACAGTGTAGTGTATTATCTTTGATATTTAAGTGCTGACCACAGAACTTTTCACTTTAGCTTTGTCCTGACCAAATTCAGCAGAAAATCTGAGGGAGACTGGATACAACCGCCACAAGATCAGCTGTCAGATGCCAGTGAGGTTTGCCTTTAACCCACCCGACGGGTTTGAAGGCACATTAAATAAAACAACACATCTAATCTTTCTCTCTTGCTCTTGTTCTGGTTTTTGCATTCACCTCTTCTGCTGATTGGACAGCAAGAGAAAGAGCATGAGAGGGGTTTCTGTCACTAATGGAAACTTTTCAAACTCTTAAATGAGTAAGAGTAGCTGTCAGTATCAGAGGCAGCCGGTCTCGAAGAAAAGCCGATGGAGACAAAAAAGTAAATATCATTACTTATAAAAAATATTTACAAAGCGGCTGAAATTGATATGCTCATTTGGATTCACTTTTACCCATGACTAACTCCAAACACACAAGACATTCAATCTCATATGGAGATTATGTATTGTGCCATTTCATTTAGTAATGAACAACATTAGGATCTGAAAGGTCTGTACGCCATTGTATACAGCTGGAGTATCAACTCTGCCATGCACATTATTTAAGATGCATTGGTCTTGGCATTTATTGCTCTTTGCCTCAAGTTAATAACTTAGCTTAAAGGCAATGAATGGAAAGAACGGGGAACGATATGCAAGTGGCTTATCTGAAACTGGATCACCTCCAGGATGATGAAGCGCTTGAGTGTAGGGAAAGCCTGAGTAGTGCTTATTAAGTGTTGCAGATAGAGTTAGTAACGGACGGTAAGATGCAACTGTCACACTAACAGATGGGTCCTTTGGAAACTTTGCAAAAATGTTAAAGTCAGAGAAAGACTGCAGTTTTATTGTCCCCCTGGCAGCCATTTGTTCACTAAGTAAATGAAAGTGTTAAATTACACAATACTGTGCTTGCTGTAGTTTTGCTTACACTAATGTGGTGGAAGTCAGTTTTCTTTAATGATTAAATGTGTTATTTAAATGTGTATGTAAATGTGTCTTTTTTAAAATGATTAATTGTGCTTAATTAATGCTTTGCAGTAAAAATTCCCAGTAATTACCATATATTAAAAAATCGTATCCAAAAAAAATCGTATCCTTTCAAATTTTGCTCTTTCATTATTTGCTTTGTGTCGATTTTCCTTTTTGTTTCTCAATACAAAGCACTTCCAATCTGCATCTCTGCCTTCACAAGGCTCTCAACCTGGTGCGTCCAGACCGGTGGTCCCTATCTATTGGGTAAGACTGCTGTGTGGAGCCTGCTGGCAGTAGAAATGCCTGCCACTGTGTGCTGTGTTTTCATCCCCTTACTCATATTTTATATATATATCATATCACGTTTTGTTATAATGCGTGGTTTGGATTTTGGAATTTTTGTATTTCTAACCGTTGCGATGACACAGTGGTCATTGATGTCATTCGCAAATACAGATGCAGTTGAATACTTGTGCAGAACGTTTGTTAAAATTAAATCAATTAGAGATGATTTTTCTGGACATTTTAAATTCGGTCTAGTGGGACTGTCAACAATCTGAAAAAGATTTAATGCATCGCAGTAGTTTTTAAATTCATCAGTTGGTGAATGCAACCAATTCCAATTTAAGTCACCAAGAACTTGTAGTTATCTAAGTCTTGAACCACACTCGTGGGAGCTGTGTGAATGAAGTGCAGTTTCCTGGAGATGATCGGTGGTGTGTGCACTCTGGAGCTTTAGAGATTGCATTTTATGAGTGTGTATTCCTGTATGATTGAAAAGCAACGAAGTCTCTTTCTCACATGGGGTGTGTTTTGTTGTCTCCTGTAGTATGAATCATCTGGGCTGGGTTTGATCAGCAGCAGACTGAGGACGACGCTCAGCCGAATCCAGGAGAGCCTAATAGACGTGGTAAGTAAAAACAAGGCACTTGTAATGCACTCTTTCTGTTTTTTTTTTCTCTGGCCATCTCACTCCTATGGTTCATCTCCTCTCTTGGCCTCTCTTATGTAACCATTACGAATCCGAGTGGAAATGGCAGTGTGATTTTATGTGAGTTCCCTATAGCCTCTCGTCAGGCCTATCATCTCTTACCCCCTCTTACTTTCAGCTATAGCAGCCACAGGTGAGTTAATCACCATCAGTACACTTAGATAGCCCTGCACTCTTGTAATAAATGTCCTTTGGTTTCCATGGTTGCACCCATTAAGGCACTCTGGGCCAAAGGCCTGATACCCAGAATGCACCATATACCTCTTTCTCCTGCACAAATAGGCAGTGATTATATAGGATCTATTCCCCCAGATATCTGAATGTCAAAGAGCAACAAAAGATACTAGTTTGCATAAAATAATGAAACATGATTGTTTTTAACCTGTCAGACTTGCAAGTTATGGTGCTCAGTGGAGTCTGGGAGTATGGCTCTGTCTCCAATACTAAATCTAACCTACCTAGACAGCATTTTTAGTCATCGTAGGAGCATGCAAGTGATTAAGCTATCTCCTAAAGAGATTTCATTTTGGCTGTATTTTGAGGCAGCTACAGTATATTGGTATCTTTTGTGAATAAGGCGATCCCACATCTATTTTATGATTAGCTCAGCAAGAAATTTCCATTCAATATAGCAAACAGAGCCAAGATAAATAGTTTTTCTTCTTTTTTTAAGAGTCTGTAGTAGACATGGCATGTCAAGCAGTGACAGCAGTGTCCTGCAGCTTGGCATGTTATTCTCTGCATGACATGCTATTCTTGACATTATTTTGTGCATCACTTGTTGTCAAGTTCTTGTATAATTATGTACTATATTATGTACTACCATATGTAATTTTATACTATGTGGTATTTTTGAAGATAAATAAGTACTATATATAAATACTATATGTGTGTATTTATATGTAATTATATAGATATTTTATATAGATAGATTTTTTTAAGAAATTCATGTTTTTATGCAGCAAGGATTAGAAATGATCCATTAAAATACATCTGTTACAAAAGATATCTATTTTGAATTCTGTAATGTATCACATTTTCCATACTGAGCATAAATATTATGCATATAATAAGAAATGCCACTTGAGCATCAAATCTGGATGTTAGAATAATTTCTCAAGGATCATGTGACACTGAAGACTGAAGTTGCTGAAAATTCAGCTTTGCACAGGAATAAATTACATTTTAAAATATGCATTAAAATAGAAAACACTTATTTTAAATGTAATCTTTCGCAATATTACTGTTTTTACTGTATTTTTAATTAAAATGCAGCCTTGTTGAGCATAAGAGACTTATTTTCAAAATATTAAAGAGATAGGACACCCAAAAATGAAAATTCTGTCATTAATTACTCACTCTCATGTTGTTCCAAGCCTGTAAGAACTTGAAGATTAAATCCGAGAGCTTTCAGGCCCTCCATTGCACACAAAAAGTATTCTCATAGCGTCATAAAATTACGGTTGTACCACTGATGTCACATGCAATATTTTATTGATGTCCTTACTACCTTTCTGGGCCTTGAACGTTTCCGTAGCATTGCTGCCTATGGAGGGTCAGAAAGCTCTTGTATTTCATCAAAAATATCCTAATTTGTGTTTCGAAGGTCTTACTAGTTTGGAACGACATGAGGGTGAGTAGTTAATGACAGAATTTTCATTTTTGGGTGAACTATCCCTTTAAAATATCATAACGACTTCAAGGTTTTAAAAAGTAATTTGTAAGTATTGTATATATTTTAGGTGTAACTTTTAAAAATAAAAAAGTGCTTAATATGTATATTTAATATTGCAAAGTCTGGATACAAGGTCATTATGATGCATTGCACATGACATTTATGTGTGCTATTTTCTTGTGCTCATTATTAACGTTTGTTTTGCTAGCTACATGTCAGCTAGCCACAATCGGCTGTGAGCATGTAATGGCTCTCTTGTGCACAGCTGTGGCTTTTAACAAGGTTGCCGATCAGCTGCTAATGAGGTTTCAGGAAATAGGCAGCAAGTTCCCTTTATAGGAAATAGACAGCAAGTTAGGTCTCTAAAAACAGTTATGTTGCCATCTGTTTATGCCATGTGCATGATAGGCTTTTCTTTGCCCATCAACTGTTTCACAAAAAATTAAATAAAAGACTATAGATTATTATGCCACTGACAGACAAATACGCCCCCATTATTTATTGGGTCATCATCCAGGATCAGCTCCCAGACTTTTGGTACCTCTTGCATCAAATATCAAGGGACTACATCGCTTATTCCAAAGGGCCTGGCAGGGCGTCAGGTGTCTGTGATAGTGTTGAGAATTGATGGCCTGAAGACTTTTGAGAGCAATTGTTTATTGGCTGGAGGTACTGTCAGGTTTTTAAGATTATACTAGCTTTATGATGATGATTTATTATGGCTACACACTTCATATTCCCAAAGCACTGCTTTAAGTTCTCTGAATATGAATCTTGTATGTTCACCAAGTCTGCGTTCATTTGATAAAAAAAATCTGTAAAATCGGTTTATAATTGTTGAAATATTACAATTTAAAAGAATGTTTTTTTTTTTATATATTATTTCATATATTTTAAAATGTAATTTATTCCTGTGATGGCAAAGCTGAATTTTCCATACCAGATGCGACAAGTTTCTAAAAGCAATAAATTTTTTTTCTCTCCAGACTGAATGCAAAACTGCTGTTTGACATAACACAATCACAGCCAGTCAGAACATATCTGAACATTTGTACCTAAAGGGTGCCTATTAGTAATTTAAGCTATTATTATTGAGCCTTTATGGGTTGCTAAGATACAAAGCTATACAATTTTGCACTTTTTTTCTGTCAGTCTGCCTTAAAGGGATACTCACCCTCATGTCATTCCAAACCTGTATGACTTCTTTGTTGAAGATATTTTAAGAACTATTTTTGTCCATACAGTGAAAGTCAGTGGAGTCCAAAACAACTGTAAACCCCATTAACTTTCATTGTATGGAGTTCTTCACAATATCATCTTTTTTGTTCCGTAGAAAGTCATACATATTTGGAACAACGTGAGGGTGAATAAATGGTGATAGAATGTTAATTCTTGTTTAAAATATCTTTTTAAGGTCCTGGGAGATAAGATACATGGTGTTTACACTGAGTTTTTCTGGAATTTTTTCTTTGGCTAAACTGTCACTATCTTCTGTTTGTTAAAGATTCATATTGTTCATGTCATCTTTAATTTCTTGTCTCTTCTTAATAAGGTCTCAGTGCTTTGTATATAACCTCTTGTAACCAATCGGAGGCAGAGCTGGAAATTCGGATTCACAGATCAGTTAGCCCCACAGATGGGGAAGATACCATGCCAGCTCCTGTATTACATGAGACGCTCATCTGACATAGGAGCTGAGAACTTTGAGAATTGAAATAGTAAAGCACACTGTAGCTGGGATTGGAGGGAATTTCCCATGGGTATTTATACCTACTGTGGCCTGCTTTCCAGCGCAGATACAATGATATCACTCTGCGGCTGGAGCAGAATTAAAAGCTCTTTAAACATTATCGCCTCTTTGGCAAGAACAGACCTCCTGTGAGATTTGATCTTTGCTTTTCTTGGATAGCATGGATAAAAACCTCAAAATGTTTAGAGGGAAAAGCCTTTAGGCTCCACCCCCAATGTGCACAGTGCTGTTTTTGTATGACTCGATAAATCTTTTATTACCTAAGATTCATCCTCTGTAAAAGTTTAGCCTCTGAGTACTTTTCACTATATGCAGATTATTTTTTATAAAGATGAGCATTATTATTATTTTTTTTTTATTGCCTAATTTAGTCAAATATAGGTTGTCTTCATCAACACTTTTAGAAAATAACACTCCCTGTTTAGGCACCAGCATCCTTGCTATTTTTGTCAAAGGTATGCTGTTTTCCAAATGTGTGATTCATGGCACACACATGAACAAGGTGGGCGAGACCTCATTTATAAACCCATTATTGCTGCTCGTTTATAATCTCTTTCTGTTCATTGGATAAATCAGTGGGAGTCAGTGAGCGCTGACCGTGTCCGTTCTCAAGAGGCTTGTGTCACTCAAAGCTAAATGTCTTTTCTTGTCACCTCTTCTCATTTCAGTCCTTCAGTTTTACACATCTTTCAGTGTTCGATTCTTTCATTACTGTGACAAGCTAGTCCTGGTGATTTTCAGCAAATCTCTTATTTATCTGTCTGTCTTTTGTTCCGTCATTCATTCTTTCTATCTTCTATGTTATTTCTGTTGTCCTATACTGTCTGTCTGTCTGTCTGTCTGTCTGTCTTTTGACATTCATATTTCTGTTGTCCTATACTTGCTGTCTGTCTGTCTGTCTGTCGGTCGTTCGTCCTTTGTATCTTCTATCTGTTGTTCTGTAATACTTACTGTCTGTCGTTGTATTTATCTATCAGTTAGCCAGCATGTCTGTCTGTCTGTCCTGCTGTCATTCATTCTTTCTATATTTTATTTGTTATTTCTGTTCTATAATACTCAGTCTGTCTGTCTGTCTGTCTGTCTGTCTATCGTTCAGTCTATAGTACTGTGAATATCTTTTGTGGACAAAACCCATGAAGCTTTAGGAATGATGTAACTAAATAAAAATTATGGTACAGTATGAAGCTATTAATGTAGAGTCATTAATTATAAGTGTAAATTACAATATCTCTGCTGAGCTCTTCTGGTGTGGTTCTCGTTTACATGGTAACAGGTGCTTCGCTTCAGAATCTCTTCAGACTTCCAGAAACCTGCTGTTGAGCTCAATTTGAAGAGAGCCTGAGACAGCGAGTGTGTTTACCTGTCTTTGTTTGCACACAGATGTTTCTGTGTGTGTGGTGAAGTGTCCACTGGGCAGTGCTGAAGGCTTCTCTTTCAGATCTGATAGTGGTTCTCCCTCGGGCCAGCTGCAGTTCTGTGATTAGCTCTCTCCAG